TTGGAGTTCTTCGCTTCAGATGCTGAGGTGAGTCGAAAGTCTAGCAGCTGCTGCTCACACAAATAGCACCAAAATGCAGAGCACTCTGTTATGCTACGAATCCACGCGTTTACCCCTGCTCTTTCTCTTGCGCCTTTCGTCTAGTCGTTGATGACTTTTAGAGCTACTGCAACGATGACTGCTTCGATGAAACGTCTGTCAGTGATCCCAGGGAGCCCAGCGCCCCAAACCGGGGCCCCAGAATCGCCAGCTGCGCCCGTCCCTACGATTGAAAGCGAGTAACCCTGAACCCTAAACCCTAAACCCCCACCTGGCGCAGCCGAACCACATAGAGCAAGATCGCTGTCCCAAGGCCCCCGAACCTCAGAAGGGTTCAGGGTTTAGGGTCTAGGGGTTTCGGGTTTAGGGTCTAGGGGTTTATTAGGGTTTAGGATTTAGGGTTTAGGGTTTAGGGTTTAAGCGCTTAAGGGTCTAAGGGTTTAGGGTTTAAGGGCCAGGCGCTGGGGGCTACAATCGAAGCTGTCGGCTCCCAACCAGTTAATGGCGCAATCATGTACCAGACTATGCTACACTACACTATACCACGCTATATTACGCGATATGCCACTGTACGCTACTTGACTATACTTTGCTGCACTATGCTACTACATTACGCAAAACTACATCTTTTCTGGCAGTTCTTCGTTTGCGGCTCGGTTTCAGTGCCTGAGACTGCGGGTGTAAAAGATAACGGAGATTTCGCAGCGTGAAGTGCATCTTAACAAGCATCTGCCCCTCGGGTTTGAACCACTGGCCTTAAGTAAAATGATACAGGGGCCTTGGTAATTAGAACTTGGTTTTGGGGAGGTGTATTGCAGCATCGGTCATTACTCAGGCTCCCATACGGACGCCCAAGCCCCCTCCACAAAGCCCCTCAACCTAAACCCTCAACCCCAAACCCTCAATCCTGCAGTAAACCCTAAACCCTGAACCGGCTTACCAGGCTCTTGCATATCAAGATCTCAAACATCCCACGACCGGTCTGAGATTGGAACAAAGAGGTCCAAAGCCATGGCCGGTTCCATGAGGAGAGCATGGCCAGCTCGTTGGGGAGGTTAGGGTTGAGGGTTTAGGGTTTAGGGTTGAGGTTGGTCGACTTGCTGTTACGGGGGGTCACTGTAGGGCTTCTCTGCTTGGTTTGAAGGATCAAGTTCGCGGCCTTGAGCCGTGGGGTTGAGGGTTTTGGGTAGTAGCCTCGGGGCCTTCATGATTGGAATAGCGTATGGGTGTACATTATGCCATAATTTCTGATCAGGAACCCCCAAAACCCTGTCAAATTATTAATTCCCCTACAGTAAGGTCTATGGGTTGGGGAGGGTAGCTGAGATTCAGAGCTTCGAGCGTGTTTCGCATGCTCCTGGAGAGATTGCTCTTACTTCTGGTTTACGGGTTTAGGGGTTTAGGGGTCTAGGGGTTCAGGGTTTAGGGGTTCGGGGTTCAGGGTTTAGGGTTATCAACCTGTCAGACAAGCTGTAGCAGCCGAAGCATCCAGGAGCGATTGATTGCACAAAGGAGCGCCACGGCATCTCTGCAAGCTGGGAAGCAATCTGCAGTCCTAAACTTGAACCACACATGTCATGAAACCGCCTAGACTTGCAACTCTAAAGCCAGAATCGTTCCTGTTTATCTACTTGAACTGGAAACAATCCTGAAAGCCGAATCCTTACCACCCGAACATACTCAAAGGATCACGAGACCTTGTAGCGTGGGGTATCAACAAGATAACTAGACTTAAGAAATACTTACAACCAAAATTAAGACACTTACAGAGCCCCTTACAGCCTCCTGGAAGTCTTGCAGCACCAGGTTACCCACTAAGTCTCGTGATCGTCCAAGTATACTCGAGTCCAATGCTCTGCCATCCCCGTTGACATGGCTTTCAACTAAAACCCACAGCCCGGAATTTCTTTTCCAGGGTTTCATTTAGGGTTTATTTAAGGCTTTAAATGGTCATTATGCAGGACTACCATAAGGGATGAAGGGGCCTTGTAACAATAGAAAAGCATGTTGGGGTAAAGAGGAGAAACCAGGTATCCTTATGGGAACTCTTAAAATAGCCCCTCCAGCAGGCCATAAAGGAAGCTTCAGTCTTATCTATATAGCAAGCCTCCTGACTTGTGGGAGCCCGTATGGCCTCAGAGGCTTCACTATGGGTTCCTAGAGCTTTAGAAGGGATGGCTCTCAGGAAATCCCAAGTGCGCTCTCTCTTTTGTTCCGGATCGGGAAAGCCGAAAAAGGACTTTTGGAGAGGAAGCCCACAGTCGGTTGGCTGCATGACCTGGGATTCGGAGTTCAGAACCAGGGCTGGGAGCTGGCAAGAACTCGGCACGGGCAGCTTTCTGCTGGGAGGCTCCAACTGCAGGAAGTCCTGGAAAAAGGCTCCCGGGAGCCCCAGCCAGTTGTGGAAGTTCGTGCAGGGAGGTCGTCTTTGAGGTCCCAGGCCGCGCCGGAAGGAGCATGCCAAAAGCGACTGCCGCGTCTCAGATTAGCGCGTGGGCATGAAAGAGATAGCATCCACTCACCGTCGTCGTCCCCGTGTCCGTCCGGCACCCTTGCTTCCTTTGGCCTTCCCCTTCTTCCCCGGAGGCCTCTCCTCCGGATCTTCCTGGGATTGCAGCAACTTGGGGCTCTGGAGCTCGATCTGGAGAATGGCCCGGCGACCCGAAGTCACCGGGGAGATCCAATGCTCACACTGGTGGCCATAGAAGAAGACGGCATCCCCCGTCTGCAGGACCACTCGCCGCTTTTGTGGCGCGCCTTTGAAAAAGTTTGCACCTCCCTGAAACTCAGAGGGATCTGATAGCAGCGCCACTAGAGACACCATGGATCCATTGTCATTGTGCTTTGCTATCTTCCCTTCGCAGCCTAGCTTCTCCACGTCGTACTCAATGTACTCGATTTGAGGGAGCGTGTAGTCGAGGGGTCCCAAATTCTTCCAAATCTGCTGGTCTACGGACCACGCAGTGAGCAAGAGCTTCTGGTACCTTGCAGCTCAGGCAAGGGGGAATGTTACAGGTTAGGAAACGCACCGTCGTGGGCTACAGGGCTTTGGATTTGCGAGTTTAGGGATTTGGAGGCATAGGGGTTCGGGGGTTCAGGGGTTTCACTAAACCCTTAACCCTCGGGTTTACGGGCTCAGGGAAGTAATATGAAAAGTTCACCTTCTCAGAGAGTCAAGAACCCCTTAAGTATTCGGAGCCCTCATGTGATGTAAAGTATATTACGTAATTAAGGGGAATTGGAGTCGCTGGGTTCTCCCTTGCCATTCCAAGAGGCAGGTCCAGATCGACTTCCCTCAAGGCAGACTCAATGCGTCGGACATAATGGGTGAAGACGAGGCCCTCGTGGCGGTCCTTGCAGAAAAAGGATTCGAAGGTGGGTTTGGGGTTTAGGGGTTTAGGGTTTAGGAGTTTGGGGATTTAGGGTTTTAGGTTTCAAGTTGTGGGGTTTAGGGTGGTCCTTGACCTCCCAGGATTGGGCATGACCGGCGACGGCATTCAGAGTCTTGATCTCTGAGTCCTTGGCCCACGCAGGACCAGTGGAGGGAGTGAAAGGTTCTTCACCAGGGCTCTAGCTTGTGACTATGAGAACGCAAAGTCGTTGCATTCGCCTTTTTTAACATTACCAACAACTAAACCAACGTCAACAAGAGGGTACATTATTTATCCTGATGCAGGCTGCCCCTCCAAACAAAGCAAGCGAAGCCAAGCCTCAGTGAGAAACTTCGGCAGCACGCCGATGGCAAGATTCGGGTTTGGCCCCGCGACCTGTCGAGGCATCACATCAACAGACTGACATAATAAAGGGTTTCCAGATTGGACTTTTGCCCTCGATTAGAACATGTTGGAGCTTTGTCCGTTTGCTCCAGGTGGAAAACGCAACCACACTGGATTCTTGATCTGTTCGACGAGCCCTGGGGCTTGAACATGCGGCGGGTAGTGAAGTTTTACAGTGCTATTGCATGAATGTTGTTTTAATTTTCTGCTCATCTCAACTTAGCAATCTTCATCAAAATGCAACTGACCCGCAGAACAGAACACCATGGCAGATGACGCAACGCTTGTTCGCTCGACACCTGCTCCAGCTCTTCAAGCTCAGGCAGAGGATCATGCCGTGGTGACCACGCAACCTCTTTCTGGATACAACCACATGTCCATAGATTGATGTGTAAGTAATTGTCTGCAACATGGATAACCACCAAAACTTGAATACTAAACCCATATAGTACTTTTTAAATCCACCAAGCAGCTGTCGGCAGTTTTGCGGCCGCAAAACCAGCTTGTCGCGTGGAATGCAACAATGCAACAAAAATCGTAAACCCAATCCCCAACTGCTTCCGGAAGCTGCAAGTTCGATGTCCCGACACAAGAGTCCGGCGAGACATTGCAGCAGACGATCAGGCGTGTCAATCAAACCAACCACCACCAACCAAAAGCTTGTGTCCGGCCGAAGCTACTCCATCTTCTACATGTCTGCGAATGAAAAAAAGGCTTTCAACTGCAACGACGTAATACACAGACACACACACACACACCTTCGTATCACCCCAACTCGTCCCGGGCAGCTCCAGCCATGAAAAAACCTGAACATCTCTTGCCATGACAATTTCGATGTCTACAACATGGACGGGGTCCCACAAAACCCCACATCTTGCAACACACATTCGTTCGCGCCCAACCAAGCTCCAGGATTTAGTTTCGCAGACCAAAGACTCAATCAATCGGGCATATTGTCCATAAAATCGGGGCCTGAAACCCTAAACCCTAAACCGCCTAACAAAGCCTAGTCCTCCAGCAGTAGACTGCCCAGCCACACTTTCCACTCCGTGAGGTTCTGCAAGATATTGGATCCGAAAGTCCCTTCACCCAAGTCTATAGAGCCCAGCACAGACATTTTACGCCGTCGGCAATCGTCGATCTGCCAAAAAGTCCTACGCCCGGCGTGCACTGGATTCCACAGCTTCACTGCAGCCTTGCATGGGGACTGTGACAAGAAGAAATCAGACTTTTGAGTAGGTTGCGTGCCGTTGTGATCATTGTCGACAGCAGACTCGATAGGACTGCACGAGCAAACCATCGACGAGTACGAACTTGTCCCATCACTGGAAGCTGCAGCTCGTCCCGCCTGAGCACAAGCCTCTCAAACATCGCCTGATCATTCGATGAATGGCGAAATCTCTCCACGGTCTCTTCGACAGATTCGTGGAAGGCCACGAGCGCAGCAAACTGAATGGACAGGAAGGCGGCTGTAAGCTGTGGGTGGTTGAGGCCCAGGTTCCACGCCATCATGTCGAAGTCCGTGCAGCCGAAAACCAGGACCGCATCAGCAGCAAGACCCGAAACCAATGACAGTCCATCCAAAACGAAGTGCCACACCAAAAAGCATTGGAAGCGCCTATAGGCAAGTTCTGCACGAAGTTTGATTGAGCAAAGTGGCTACTTACATGTCTACACTCAGATGAGGGCCATATGGGAACCCTTCAGATGCGCAGTCCTTTCAAAAGGTAAGCAATGAGGATTGGAACTCCATGCCACGCTTGAGAACCCGAGCTTGGAATGATGGCTTTGGAAAATCCAGGGAACCCTAAACTAAAACCTGAACCCATTCTTGATGCAAAGCCCTGCCTCCTGCAGTCCTGGCAAGCTCTGAAAGCCGCTGTCAAGTCAGCGACAACTTCCGCGCGCTGGAGAAGTGCCACCACGTGCTCCAACTTGCCCTGAAGCAGTGTGCACGTCGCAACATGAGGTAAGGCCAGGAGCCATGCGGCGATGAGCCACAGCGCGAATCTTGAGAGTCCCCAGCACAAACTACCAACTTGGAGTTTCCTGCGCCGGGACATCGCACACATGATCAGCACAACAAAGTACGCCACCAGCGTCAACAAACAGGCAGCGGCCAATATCCGCCAGATGATCCTCTTTGTGTGGCATGCTTGGTGGCCACTGGTCGGAACTGCGGCCCGCACTTTTCTGGCGAATTCCAGATGCACTAGACCAGAAAACCCGTTCAGCATGACACTCGCTGCCATGCAAGCCAAGATGCAAGCTTTGACTGGGCGGGCACTGTCGTCGCCGCTGATCAAACATGTCACGTCCTCGACATTCCCCTCCGCCGATATCACAGCAGATACGGCAAACATGCTTGTACCGACAATGTACCACGGAAAAGCGACGCCCAGCACCATGCTTTTTATGTCGACTGGGCACGCGCAAAGAAGTGCGACCACGATAGGCGAATAAAGAATCACTCCGGGATCTGTACGATGAAGGTCCATCGTCGATGCCAAATCAGGCCATCGAAGATCCAATCCATGAACTGGAAGAACTCTATACAAGACCAAATAGCTGACTACTATGGGGAATAGTGAGGCAGCGGCGAACGCAGCTTGAAGGCGCCAATCGTAACCGCTGCCAATACATGATAACATGGCTACAACCGGCCCAATGCTAGTTGCTGTTGCTGACCAGATCAATGGGGGGGGTAGCAGATGGTCTCCTCAAAATCGTCAGAATGTCTAAAAAGCCCATGACTACCAACGCTGCGACTCCGCAAAGCCGGAGTGTGGCCCATCTTGCGCTGGCATGTGTGCCGACGGCAAACAAAATCCAAGCTTCTGGTGCATCCCGTGCATGGGCGGATTGCTCTGTATTGGCGTCTGCAATGCTCAGGGCAGAGATTGCCGATTGGAAGGACTCCATCAACGAAACTACTGCTGTTGGACAAAAACCTGCATTACCCAAAGGACCCTGAACTATGGGTTTTTGTTATACTGATTTCAACTAAGGCCTCAAGCATTCTCAGCCGTTGAAAAAATCACCTTCACGTAAACGTGCATGTTGACATGGTGCTTGATCCACATTGTAGTCATCAGGAGTTTGTATGCTCGTCAAACAAGTCGGGCACAACAAGCAATACTTACACCGATTATGCCAGCATCACTCGCAGTTCGCATTTGTAAATGGGGCGACACAGCTCGGGGCTTCAGGCCGAGGGTTACGGCCTGTTGTTGGACAGTGAAACACGTGCTTAGCACTGTGCTTTGTACGGGTCGGGCGGGCGGGAGCTGTTGGCCGTCTTGAGGCCCTCCCACCCACCCTGAAGCCGAGATTCACATCACGCAAAAAACGATGATGGAAACAGACGACATGCGAAAACAAAAAATTGAAATCCTCGGCTCGCCTCAACTCGCCGTATAAAAACAAAAAGGCTCGGGTAGCAAGCTACAAAGTCGCTTTTGTTATACTAATTTGAACTAAGGCCTCAAGCATGCTCAGCCGTTGAAAAGAATCACCTTCACGTAAACGTGCATGTTGACGTGGTGCTTGATCCACATTGTAGTAATCAGGAGGTTGTATGCTCGAAACAAGTCGGGCGCAACAAGCAATACTTACACCGATTATGCCAGCATCACTCCCAGCTCGCATTTGTAACCGGGGCGACACAGCTCCCAGCTTCACCCCACGTATATCATCGAATGTGGAGCCCCTCACAATTCATCCGAAGGATCGCCAAACAATGGACATGTATCGCGGCATCGACTCCAACCGTTTGCAATCATGAGAGTGTAGTCCCCCCTCGAAGGAGGGGTCTTTTTTCATTCACAGGCTTTAGTCGAGTCGACTATTCAGCGGGCGCTACGTGATCATACCAACCTGTGGGCACGAAAACTCCGGACTACTATTGCCGCTTCCCAATGCAGCGGCCGGCTATTGCGGCCCAGAAAAGAGAGCTATATACCACGTCCTACTGATCTCTTTGAGGTCAGTAGAGCTAGCTAAAGTCGTCGGCGTGTCATCATTGTGTACATGTAGGGCGGGTGTGCGGCATCCCCATCAAACTCTCTTGGAGTTCGCTATAACAGGCTACGCCGATGTGATAGATGATGGAGTGAAGCACACAGGCACAGCGCGAGGTGCAACACCATCGGTGAATGCTGGCACCTGCAAGCGGGGGTAAAACGCTTTACGGGTACGTTCCGGACCCTTTCACTTCACACAGATATTCGCACTTCACTTTTCCTCGGGCGCACGGCTGTCTTGGGTGCGTCCCTTGAGCCTAAACACCACAGTGGAACATTTGTTCCAAGCTATACAAAATCATGTGGCAAACAGCTCAACTACAGGATTACAGGGCAACACACACTTAAGCGAAATGTTTGTTACCCCCTCTTCGTGCATCCTCTTTTCGCCTTTCCCTTTTTCCTAGAGGTGCAACGAACCCAAAACAGTCGCTCACTCCTCTTTTAAACACGTCGTTGTGCACTGCGTTTTGTCGTGGTGTGAAACGAGTGAAACAGAGCTACTCCTACTGGCCGCTCTCAAACTCGTTCACTTCTTTGGCTTTTTAGCCACAAAAGAACTCGTCAGTGGCCGCGGCCACAAAACTCTTTAAACTCTCATCGTAGAGAAACTCTTCGGCTTCCCTTGTGCAGCTGTTGTACAGCTTTCAGAAAACTCTTTCCTCGTTTGGGAACTGGGTTCCCCCTCTCGGCTTTTCAGCCTCCAGATTACCTTTTTCTTTACAGACCTCCGGTTTGGTCTACTGCTTTCATCCCTCCTTGTTTATAGACCTGAGGTACGGTCTTTCTCTTTCCTCTCTTTTCTCTTTTCTCTTTAGCTGCTTTTCTGCTGTGCCTTCTTCCCTTTTCCTTTCTCCGCATTGTCAATCCTATATTTCTTTTTAGAGGCCTCCAACCTGTTGGCGTAGGCCCTTCGAACCGTCAGTTCGTTTTTCCTGTACCAAGACAGGAACTGTTCTCTGCTCATTCCTTCGCGTTGGGCCATTGGAGCATATTGGCCAGTGGAACTATAATTATAGTCCGCATCCCAGCAGGTGTCGGCACCGTGTCCAAAACGTGAACATAAGGCGCACACCATTGGCTGAGTTGAGGCTTCCGGGTCGTCGTTGATTTTTCCTTCCTCTTTCAACGCCTGCAACTCATCTTCCAATGCTTGGTTATTCTTGCCTAACTCTTTGATGGTTTCTTTCATCTTTTTGCGTTCTTCTTTCATCTTCTCCACTTCCTCACTTTGCTGGGACTGCGTTGCTCCGGCACTGCTTTTTCTCTTTTTCACTTTTCGCAGCTCTTCGTTCAGTTCTCCAATTTCTTTCTCTTTTGCTGCCTTGAGATCCGTGATCTCCTTTTCCTTTTTCTCCAACTCCTCTTTCATTTCTCTTTCTTTGGCTTCTTTGATCTCCTTTATCTCTTTTGACTTCTTTCTCTCCAGCTCCTCAAGCAACTTCTGGTCGCTTTCGTTCAAAAGCAATCCTCCTTCTGGCAATCTCATTTCTTTTCTCTTGTTCTTCAGCTCATTGAGAGCCTCATGTAGCTTTGGACGAAGTTTGTCCATCTCCTTCATTATTGCCATTTCCTCATCCATGATGAGGGTGGCCTCCACTTCTTGCTGCTCCTCTTCTTTCCTCAACTTATCAAGTTGCTTCTCTATTGCCTCCTTGGCAACGAAGGCTTCATCTGCTACTCGCTTCATCTCTTCTTGAACCTCGATCTCTTTTGCAATGAGCCTTTCTTTTTCCTCTTCCTTCAACTTCTTTTGCTTCTGCTTGTACGTATACAGATCACCATAAATGGCGAATTTCTTTCGCTTGTCCTCCACTTTCTCTTGAAGGACCCTCATCTGTCCAAGCAGGTCCTGGACCTTTTTCTCTTCATCTATTACCGACTTCTTTGCGAACTTCTTCATAATCTCCTGAAACTCATCGTCGGTCGACTCATCGGCCTTTTTCTTTCTCTTTTGGCCCTTCTCTTTCTCTTCCTCTTTCTCTGAGCTCTCTTCCTCTTCTTTCTCCGAGCTCTCTTTCTCTTCGCTTTCAGAAGCTTCCTGCTCCTCTTCTTCTCTCTTTTTCTTTTTCTCTTCTTCCTCGGCCCTTTTCGGCTCCTTTGTTTCCGCTTCTTTTGTTTCCTTTGCTTTCTCCGCGATCTCATCTGCCCTCTCTTTCTGGCCCTTTCGCCTCTCGGCAGCCTCTGCAGCCTTTTGTTTCAGTTCATTTATTCTTCCTTCCATAACACTTGACTGGCTAGCTTCTGCATTTCCTTGGCTAGCCTGTGCCTCAGCAGCCAATTCCTCGGCTGTCTTTTTAAACTCTTCAGGCACTTGAACCTCCGCCTTTTTGGCCTCTGGCGGGGTTGGCGCGTCCTCGCGCAGCTGGTTGAGGCGTTGCACTTCGGGCCATAGCGCTTCGAGGCTTCGGCGCTGTCCGCGCTCCGTCTTGAGCTCTTTTTCACAGAGGCGGATGGCCTCTATACTTTTACGGTCATCGCGGATCAGCACTTTGATGGCCTCGTCGTCCGCCATCTCTTTCTTTTTCCTTCTTTCTTTTTCCAATTCTCCCTTTTTCTTCACTTCTTTTCTCTTCACTTCCTGTCTCCTCACTTCCTTCCTACTCACTTCCTCTTTTGAGCTGAAAACGGCAGCGGCGGAATTAAACATGCACTCAGCACTCCCAACCAAACTCTTCCACAAGCTACCGTTGCAAAGCATGACAACCACCATAGTCATCATCATCATCACCATCATCAACAACCCGAAGCATCCACCATCACTGCTTCACATTGTTGAACCATCATCATCATCATCACCAACCTCCTGAGGTACTTCGTAGGAATCTTAAAGTCACTTGCTACTCTTACCTCTTCACTCTCTTCTCCAGTTCTTACACCAATCCTTTCCAAACACTTCACCACAGCGTTCCGTGTCAAGGCTTTTGTCCCTACGTCTGCAGGGTTCTCCTTTCCAGCTATCGCTTTCACTTGAAGACCTACTGAAGTAAGCCTTTGTACCCAAAGCAGTCCGGCATCAATGTGCCTCGTTCTTCCTAAGCCTTTCTTCAAGATGATAGACCTAGCACTGCTAGAATCCATCCGGATCACCATGTCCGGCCTAATCCCAAGAACTCTGTGTAACAGGTTCTGCAGAAAAACTCCTTCGCTCAAACCTTCAACGGCTGCTACCAGTTCACTCTCGCAGCTGCTCAAAGCTGTCGCTTTTTGCTTCCTAGCGTGAAAGTAAACAATGTTGCTGTTCACGAAAATCAAGACGCAGCTCGTTGACTGCCTATTCTCACGGTCGGTCGCCCAGTCGGCGTCGGTTACTACCTCGATCAAACTCTTTGCCGTGAAAACGTCTTTATAGGCATTCTCAGTCCTCTTATCGCTTGGATCCAGAAAACTCTTTCCAGGATATGCCTCTTTGTGTTCTATCACATAATGGGCTGTCGCTTTCACATACTTTGCCACGTGCCTAAGCACTGCTAAGTCTCCTCGCGTTGGCGCTGCCAACTTTCCTGACAACCACTTCGTAGCGAATCCCAAGTCAGGTCTCTCTGGCGTCATATACAATAGGATTCCTACACAGGATCTATACAGATGGTGCTCATCTGCATCCAGAGGCGTGTCGTCCTTCAACGATC